TTACACTTTTCGCGCTTGCCGTTCTCGGGTTCTGATGAATGATAGAATACAAGTCACTGAACCAAACCTCTTGCAATATTTGCATAACAACACTAGTATAAATTTACTCAGTTTTTATAGTGCAACGCAACTTTAATGAGAATGAAGTGAGAAACTACAATAGCACAGTCGGTTACACTTACCGTACTCTTAAACTTAACTTAACACAAGGCCAAGTAAGAAATTATGCGACTTTTCAGTACACACTCTGCTCATAAGGAAAATGGCTGGAGAAATAAATATGACATGTGCGTGCGTGATGCACTTTCCAGTGATCTCCCAGCTCGTATCTCGATTCTTCCTTCAATTCTGGGCAAGCAAGTGACTCTCGAGAGTTCTGTTGCAGGATCGATTTTGATTGGTTTAAAAAAAAACAATAAAAGTGACCAGAATAAGACAACGGGAACCTGATTGAGGCACATGATTTTAGCTAGGAATGCGCGTTTCAACCAGAAGCGGGATATTTTCAGATTTCTAATAAGTGCTTTTCAGGGTCGCTCGATTCTCGAGTGCTAGTTAAGGGGAACTAATAATCTGGGTTCCAGGTTGAAATGACCCTTTGTTAAAGAACGTCACTTGTTTACGTTTCATTTCTTTGTAGCCGAGATTATTTACAGATTACCAATGAGAAGAATCGAGTGTTTGGCAAGTACTGTGGTCACATGACTGAAAAGACAGTTCTTGTATCTGGAAAATACGCGTTGATAAAATTCCACTCAGACAGCAATATTCAAAACAGAGGATTTCTGATGGAGTTCTCAGCTGTTGTGCCACCCTGTAAGAAATGATAATTGATATGGAGTTTGATGCTTTTATGACTGAGATAATTACTTTAAAACGTGTTAAGGCACAGAAGAGAGATATTTCTTGAACAATTGTAAAACCAAAACTGATAAGAGGGAGTAGGCTTGAATCTGTATGAGTGACTGCTGAGGACAATAGAAGTTGATATAGAGCATCAATCAATACAATGAATAACGATCGCACGATATCTATAGATATAGATAATGACTTTGGAAAACGATACAAATTTGAAATTTTGCAACACCTACCAAGCTTTGAATTCTCGAATTTTGCATCGAGATAGCCTCCTTTAAGGCAAGTAAAATATTTGAGTGCCTAAAGGAGTTTTTATCTCGAGTGCGTAAGAAATAATTAACAAAAACTTTGTCTCCCTCCACAAACTCGAAAGGCCTTCAATTCCTTGTTAAGTGAAAGTACCAGGTTCAAGCTGCATGGGGTAGCCTGCGTGGGTGGCGGGATTCGTGAGCGAGTGATCCTAAGCCCACAAGTGAAATTTAACTTGATTCCTCGCCAAGTCCCTCGTGGCTTCGCCACTCGCGTTCACTCTCGGTTTCGCCGCCAAAACAAAAGCTCTCGCGCGCAAAATCCCGCAGCTACGCAGGCTAGCCATCGGGAATTAGACAGTTTTGGTGCAAGTCAAGTGATACGTTCTAGTCCAATAATAGGAAGGTGTTCATGATATAACACCCAGGACCCTTGTGTCGGGTGGTAGGGTCTCCGGGAAACAAATTAAAGTTCACTTTTTTCATGTGGCCAGTCGTTAGCTACCTTTGAGGCCATATGAGTCCCGTGCAGAAGCAGATTCGACACCAAATGGTCAACTCCAAAAGGCGGGTTAAAATGACCATAGAAAACCAACTCGGAAATTCCTGTCCTATAGAATGTTTCTACTGCTATCGTATTTTCATGTTATTTCTGGCGATGTAGAAAAAGGTTTATTTTTTACTCTTAGCTGTTCCAGAACCTGTTGCCTTCTACCCCTTGAATGCTCGCTATAAAGCCACAGAAAAAGAGAACAGGCAACTAAAGGGAACCCTGGGAGATGTTGCGATTACAAATGGACCCTACAACGAACCAGGCGGAGCGTACATGTTTTATGGCACTGCAAGTAGCTACATCGAGTTTCCGAATAAAGGGGGCCTGGACACTCGGTTCTCAATCACACTGATGTGCTGGGTTCAACCCGTAGGCCAAGATGGACCACTATTCAGCTACGGAGTTTCTGGTCTCACTGTCTGTATCAAGATTAAGCATGGCAAATTCCATAATCGAATCGTCAAACACAGTTCTTTTCAAAAACTAACTACCATCACAACTGAGGTACTTCCAGCAGGAAAGTGGGTTCATGTTGCAGCAAGTTACGATCACAACAGCGGCAATAACTCGCTGTATATCAACGGACATTTGAGAGCCTCGCAAAACATTGGCACGGGTTATGAGATTGCAACCGCTTTCCAGAGAGTTCGAGTGGGGGTTAAATTTGGCATTTCATATTTCAAAGGGAAAATTGCGGAAATGAAGGTTTACGACGTCGCACTAAACGAGGCACAGATACAAACATCGATAATACAAGGTAACTGAAAACAATATGCACTTTTTTGCCGAAATCGTTGTCACGTTACTCTCCTCGATGGTTCCCTTAATTAATGAAACTCCCGTTATTGGAGAACTTCGCAAGGGGTAACAGACACCCATTTCAGGATACCGCTTCGCAAAACAGGGTCTCGCAGAGGACAAAAGAAATGATTAAAAGAACCCGAGAATATCGAGAGCAGACAAGCCTGTGAGAGTAGACAGATTTCTTCATTTCTGTTGTTTCACGTCGTCCGAAAATAAGTCTGCGTGTACCTTCGCACGCTAAAAGTGACATGCAGTATCGTTTTAAGGCCATTAAAGTCAATGTCTTGGCCACCTTTTAGAATTCTCTCATGGGTTGTTTTCAGCACGCACCTTGACCTTAATTTACAAATATATACATGTGTGCATCATTGTGTCAACTAAAACCACATTTTGACGTTAGCTGTGCCTCGATCACAGCAAGATGTGATTTGCTTGAAAATAGTGTAAGCAGGTATGGTCAGTCAATGAACATTAAAGGTAAAAGTTTTTTTATTTCTTACTGATTAGCTCCACCAACGATAACATTCCCAGCTGCTCTGTTAGCAGTACAAGGAGGCATGCTGTCATGTTCAGCCAGAGGAACTCTTCCCATATACACAGCACTGATATGGAACTCTACAGTACTGGTGAATACAACAAACACTGCAACCATCCGTCTGGACAAGGATGGAAACTACACCTGCCAGGCCGTCAACCAGTATGGAACTAACGTGACAGAACTCCACGTCAATTTCACAAGTAAGAGTTTTTCTGGCCTAATCTCTCTTTTCTTGTCAAGTAAAGTACAATGCTTGAGGGTGAGTCCCTGGTAAACTTCGAGAAAACGCCCTGTAATGGCCCTCTGGGTACAAAGCACTAAGTACCTGTAATGCACGAAATGAACGGGTTGGAGACTATAACTTAAAGTGAAGCTCCATGCTGTCCACATTGTTATCAAAGAGTTCTTTCTGACTATTCGTTGGCCATAGCATCTCTTGATTTAACTGACATCTCATGCAGTGATCGCACTTAAGGACGTATCTTGAATACCTTCAATCCTGGCCATAACGTTTGAGACACTGTTATTTTTCCATAAAAACCAGAATCCAATTTACTCCCCTTCCCCCTCTGAACAATGCTGGGTGTCAGGAGTTAATGAATTGTAGAAATGGTCAAATAATTACTTCTAAAAGAGATTTTATTAAATACTTGAGATAGTACGCGCACTCCCATTGATTGGTCGATAGGCGTATCTAAATGAGCGTATGTAAATACGGGTTGCACATGACGTTTTAGATTCTCACGTATTTTTAAGAGCTATTTCATAAAATCAGTAGAGTACTTTTTCCGTGTAAACGTAGCTTCATCTAAACACTTGGAAAGTTGAAAGAATTCTCAAAAGTTTTGCAAGCCCTCGACCTGCGTCTTGGATTTGAGTACCTATCTCGAATTCTCCCAGCTCCTCACGTGTTTAGATGAGGCTACATAAACACAGAGAAAGTACTCAATTGCTAAATCTGAAGCCCCTTCTCCATACTTTGAAGACGTCCATGAGAACAGTTTTATCCCATTTTATACTCAACTTTATTATACAACAGTCGAATAAAGTAAACATGAATTCTCATCCTTCAAGTCATATCAAGTTTGGTTTAAATTAAGCTGGGAGAGATTATTGCTGGGCCTTTATTAATGGATGTCCATTCCCCTAAAATGTTGGTTAAAATGTGCGCCTTGTAACGTTAAAGAAACATACAAAAACTGTCTTTGTATTAACAGAATATGGCCCAGAGATCGGCTTTCTGACCAGTGAAGGATATCCTTCCAGCTATCCAAGGAAGACGGACAATATATCACCTGCATATCCTATTCCAGAAGGCTGGTCGATGAACATTTACTTTCAGGATTTTGATGTGGAAGAAAGTAAACATTGCCTGTAAGTGATATAGCTGTGCTGATCGAGTGTATCAGCTACATTTATCTAATGTGGAGTAGAGTCATGTGATGGCGTTACTCTTCGGATGAATTTCTATCTATTCTGGATCTATTCATTTGTCCAATTGGAACATAGCCTTATCAGCTTTCTTGAGCTTTATTCGTAAATACTCTGTTTTTAGTGAATCTAAGTCCCTTTTCGATGGTCCCAATTATGTTTATTAGTAATAAGA